TTAATTTGACCCTTAATAAATACAATGACCTTCACAAGCCATGTCCAGGGGGGACCTTTACTGGTGCCCAGTTTCACTGCAGAAGAATGGATAATTTGATATACAGTTGTATGCAAAAGTTTGGTGATTTTTTTAAAGATGTAAAAAGAGGGTATGGAACATAAAACACAATGTTTGCAGCAAACAAACACGCATTTTCTTTTTTGATTTCATAAACTGAACAAAAACAAAATCATTGTGGCATGTGCACAAGTTTGGATAACCTAAGAGTTCGGCAGTCTCAGACCTTCATCAGGCCTGTGGCATGTGAACAATTGTCATTAGAAAACATCAGCTGGTGCCAACTTGAACTCTTTGTAACTACTCTTACTCTTCAAACCACTCAGCAACCACGGGTTCCTCTAAGCAGCTGTATAAGATTAGAAAATAAAAGTTATTGGTGCCCACTGCTGCCACAATGCAGAAGAAGGCTACAAGAAGATTTCACATATAAAACTTCCATATACTTTTCACATACAACTATGTACTGTACTCCTAAAGGGATGCAGACAGACAGTTGTACAGGTACACAGACAGTTCTGTTTATTCTGCGTTGGATCTCGGGATAAGTGGCAGGCTCACATGACTGCACAGATGCTTGCTGACATGAGCAGTTGACAAAATTTACACCATGCTGACCCTCATTACTACATGACGACAGAATGTTTCATTTTCCTTCATGCAAGCTTAAATCATTGTACAATATAATCATAAAGGGTCTTAACTGGAAAAAGTAAAATATCCCATAAGATGTGGACAACTGGTTGGAAAATTCGCATTATTTGTTTATGTTCAACAACTAACCTGAGATCTCACAATATTAACTTAGATCATTATTCATGGAACTATTAATCTAAATAGACTATGTGCCTGTTGGCCTTACCTCATGCAAAATGGTGTGAAAACCTTGCCAAAGAAACATTTAACATATTTTTAATGGAAAGCTTACCCTATTTTTCATTTTCTCTGCTTTTTGTTTTAATCTCATTTCTTTAACTCCATCTGTCCTTGTCCTTGCTTTAGTCTTTTCTTACCCTCCTGTTCAAACTGCTGTTGAAACTTCAGATCATTTTGCTGATTTGACAGGAATGTGTGATATATATGAAAAAAATAGTATAAGCGACAGAACCAAGTGTGTGCATGTGTGTATTTGCGTGAGTTTGTGTAGTAGGTGCACATTCAGCTAGTCATAATGAATAATTTTAAGGGGAATCTTACTTCGTCTCCCCTCAGGTAAAAGGGATGACATCTCACACACACATAAACATAAACACACTGTGGTGAGTCAGGAAGGTGTGTCTGCATGTGTGTGAATGTATCCTGTCTGCATATATTCTTGTAAGCATCTGTGTGTGTTTATCTGCTAAAACTGTGCCCTAACCACTGTAACCTCTCCACTATGTGTGTGTGTGTTTGTGTGTGTGTGTGTGTGTGCGTCTTGTCAGGTGTGCGTCAAATGTAGGTGGGCCGACCGCACTGTTTACACACGACGCCATGGTGTGACCTCGGAGGTTGCCGGTGACCGTGATTGGCTGCCAGCTACCAGCTCATTAAGCCGCTCACATGGGGACACCGTGCCAGCAGACACACTCTCCATTTGTTTCACAACACACGGACACAGTCACACACACTCGTCAGAGGAACACCGCAGGCATGGCAGGCAGCCACATGTACATGCCCACTCCTGCATGAACACACACACACACACACACACACACACACACACACACACACACACACACACACATCACAGTTCATCAGTAGCAGAGAGTCTGTCTGGCCTTGCTGACCTGGCTGAACTTTGGCTCACCCTCATTGGTTCATTACACCACACAGCCTCACACCTAGATGCCTATTGGCCAGTGGACCAAACTGCAGGGTCATGACTTACAGGAGGAGAAGAGAAGAGACTAATTCAAGAAGGGAAAATTCAGAGGAAGATGGAAATTTTTAGAGGATAAAGGGAGAAAAAGGAGACAGAAGAAGAGCAGAACAAAGAACGAAGAAAACAATTACAAAGATAACGTAATAAAGGGGAAGGAAAAAAGATGCACACTTCTCTTTGTAGGAAATCTTAAAAAATGTGGAAGTAATAAAAGCGGACTTGATGTTATCTTGATGACAATGTATTTTTCCCATAGTCCAGCCGGTGTCTGAAAGAGATTTGTCAGCAAAATGAGAATTTTCTCAACCCACAAAGGAGTATCTCAGGACAGTCAAGGGAGCAGGCAGTCAACGACTGTTAAAAGATAATTCCTGTTTATGGTAACATGGGTCTTATTCTCATTCCTGTCAATAATAATACCATTATACTATTGTCTGATGTTATCATAACTGATAGAAATGATGGTCAGGGCTACAAAAATACATCAAAATTTGTAACAAACTGGAATTATTCTTTAAGCAAAGAGTAAGTGTGTGTGTGGCTGGTTTCTGACCAAAAATAGAATAACATACACTTTTGGCTTCAATCATCATAGTGTGTAAAAGCTTTCAGTAAGAATTTGTACAAACTTAGTGGTGGAAGAAGTACTCAGATCATTTACTTCAGTAAAAGTAACAATATCAGCAGAAATGCTCTGTTACAAGTCAAAGTCATGCATTCAAGTAAAGGTAACAAAGTATTACCATCAAAATATACTTAAACCTACAACAAGAAGTGGTTATGAAACAGTCTCAATTTAATACTCATGCCCTTTATATGACCTACATAAGCAAACAAGACCATTCCTTATGCCACAGGGTCAGATTTAGTCAGATTCCCCTTGGAATCAGTGAGGCGGTGGAAACATTGTCCACAGGGGCCACCAGAATCAACACAAAATTAACTTTTCCTTGTTGCTGTTTTAAAGTACCAAAAGTAAAAGTACTCATCATGCAGAATTAGAGAATAATGTATATTTTATTATTGAATTGTAAGTATTCAATTCAAAGAGGGGGTGGGTGTGAGAGAAGGACAGAGACATAGATGAAGATGCACAGCAACAATTTACATACATATATATTATATAATTTCTTACATGCACACAGTATTTAGACCTGTACTGTATGTTCATAGCCCTGTGTAGCCTATATTCTTCTGCTTTATTTTTACATGCCCCTACCTCCTTCTGTAACCTGTGAAATATTCTATTTTAACCCAAATCACATCTGTATAAAAACTGTATATGGTGTGTATACAACCCTAATTCTATTTTTTCTTTATATCTTGTATTTTTCTATTTTATTTTGTTCTTTAATGTGTATTTCTTTTTTCTTAACTGCTATGCTATATCTGGAGCCGTTGTAACAAGTGAATTTCCCCAGTGTGGGTTCAATAAAGTCTACCATATCTTATCTTAATACCAATAGCAACAACTATACTAGTAGAAATAACTAATAATGTTGATGTTGATGATGATGATATGATGATGATGACGATGCCGACAACAGTCACAATAATATATAATAATAATTATAATAATAATAACTATTATCAGTAATAGTGGCAGTGGAGGTCAAGCAGGACCATGGCAGCAGGCACAACCATGAGAACCTCCCAGATAATGTGTACATCATGTGACATGTGAGTCTTTTATTGCCTTTTTTGAGAGAATGACACACAGCAAAGGGCTGAAGGTCAGATTTGAACCCTGGGCCACTGCAACAAGGACCCAGTCCTGGTGCATGGGGCACCAACTCCACTAGATGAGCTGTCCAGACCCCCAAGATTGTGTTGTTTTCCTAATGTGATGAGTTGCTATTTGAACATTATGGATTGCTGTTGCACATTCCCCTCTTCGTCCAAACTCCAAATCTGTTGCTAAAAACATTAAACCAGTCCAGTTTCCTCGTTTCATTTGAGAAACAAACATACCATTACTTCTTCTAAATCTTAATTGCGTTAATTTAACTGGATATGAATCACCTTCTTCTTTCTTTTATTTCTTCCTCCTCCTTATGAGTAGATGTAACTTTAGCACAGCTTTGTGCTAGATTTCACAATTAAGATGTTTACTGGTGCCTTCTATTTTGGTTTGACTCATAACTACAGCCTCCGGCATGACTTGTGATATTATAAAAAATAGTTACAGTACAATTACAGAATTAAAAACAGTGAAATTTTTCTGTCCCTTCACAGTGTCCCAACTATCCCTTCAAACTGAAAAACATGAATCTCTCCAAAACTAATAGGTTGGACTTTTTCAGATGACAACATTGACTTGGATTTACAGTCCATCTTTAGAGCAAATTTTTCCATATCCAGGCAGCCTTAACGTGTGTGTATTTGTGTGTTTGTGTACCCCGAGGCCTGGTAAAGTACACGCTGAGTCATCATTCTTAAAGAAGAGAATTTGCTGACCGAATTAGCTTTGCAGGGGAAACCCCGTTACACAACAGAATGACATTTAGACTGCCTCACTTTCTTAAATTATCTTTCTGACAGGCCTGACTTGCGCTCTCGACTACATCATATATTTTTATAGCCTGATTCTTTTATCACCATTATTTCCATTTATTTTTTTCTGTCCCTGCTGTCTTTCTCTCCTTCTCACTTCGCTGTGATGTTTCAGCTCACTCCACCCCTAACTGGGCCTTTACCCCCTCGTCCTCTCTCTCACTCTCTGCCGTTCATCTTCTGTCCATTCCTGCACTGACACCCCTCCTCCCTCGTCTCTCTTTCACCATACGATACTTCTCTGTTGACGTGTCCGTCGGCGAGTTCCTATAGCAACCAGACATTTCTGCTGACCCCTGCTTTGCTTTGCGTGACAGAGCTGCAGGATGCCCAGTGATAGGGCAAAGATTAGCAGAGGAGTCTACTGTATGCATGTACACAGATAAACACACATGCACACCCACTTTATATGCACATGTGCTCATATGCATGCATGCATGTCCATTTACCACTCAATTACACATGCATGTACACTCAAACACGTACACAAAATCTAAAAGTAGACAGCTAAACAAACTGTATATTTGTTGAATATTTGTATTTTTTATTAAAAATAACATTCATAACAGCAACAGTTGTACAACCAATAAACGTCTGCAACAATAATTACACTTGAGAACTGGAGGACTTCTTCCTCCTTTTTTAAATAAGTTAAGAAATAAAGTTTTTCTTTTTCCCCCAGAAATCATTTTCTAAAAGCATTTATACATACAGTGTTGGCTATAACTGGCTCACAGCGATCTCTAAAAGCCAGGTCTTTAAGACTTGCTTTAATGTGGATATTCATAGCATGTTATCTAGGCAGGCATTTGGTTGTTATCCCATTTTGATCTGGCAGTAGTACAAAATGAGCAGGTTATCGATAATTTCCAGTACATTAAGCTACAGTACACGGTAGACCACTTCTCTAGTCAATGTAGTATGATCAGTGTATGGCTACTCCAGTGTTAGATAAAGTTAGATTCAGACATTGTAGGATAACAGTAATGTTTGGCATTGAGGCCTGAGCTGCACTCTCCAGTTTCCAGTTATCGTCCCAGTGTAGAAATCCAGTTCTGCACATCTCCAGTTTCATCTCGAGCTCCACATTAAGCCCCCAATAATGACTTATTCTTAGTCCAAGTCATAATCAAGTTCTCCATTTGTGCACCTATCAGTAGTTGCGCTACAAGTCAAAAGTTTTTAAGAAGCCAATCAATGGCTGCCAACTGCAAGGAGAGACCACCAGTCTTGCTTTGGACATCTGCTAAGCTTGCATCGATCCACGTTAATGGGATTTGTGGTTCATACACATGAAATCCAGTGTTTAGTGTGACAAATATCCTCCTTTCCAAGAAGTTCATAAGATTGCACTTTTGTTATATCCATGAAGCTGGACGCTCTGCGGCAGCTCTGGAGCAGGAAAGGTGACTTTGTCTAAAGCTGTTGGCTGAAAACAGCAGCCGTGTCCTTCACCTCAGCATCCATCCACAGAGTCAATCATCCCACATCGAAGAATCCCATGTTTCTTGTCTCTCCGTATTCCTTTGGTGCAATGTGTCTGGCCAAAGGTTTTTGAGTAGCTTTACCATTGCCTGTTAGGGAAGGAAAAAAAAAATCATCAGATAAATATGTTCTTTTTCAATTTGTTCTCACTATATTCTCTCTCTCTCACTCTCCCTCCTCAGTCGCTTCTGAATGTCATCTTTCATGATTTTATCTGCCTCTGTGTATTACCAATGTCTTCTTACCATGCTTTTGTACAGATAAAAAAATATTTTTAAGCACAGGCAAGCCACTTTTGAAGGAGTGGTAAAGATGTTGAAACTCAGAAATTATGCGAGAAAAAATAAATCTGCATGGTAAATATTTGCAAATTCACTCAGGAAGGAATTTATTTGTGGAGCTCCAGATGAATCTAACACTCTTTTTCATTGCCCAGGTAAATATTCTAGAAAACAGTAACATTATTCAGAGGGTTGGGGAAATTTTAATGATCTTTTTTTTATGAAAGAAATTCATTTTTCCCTTAACCTACCGGAAAGTAGGTATTCGAAGCATCAAAAATACTTTAGCGTAAACAATTTCAACCATCATCCTTAGATTAAAGGAAATTCTTCCTTCTCATCATGCCCCCATGCTGCCTCAGGTTACTAGGTCAGGATTATCACCATTCTCTCACCTGCAGCTCTACATGATCATGGCTCTGATGGCTGCTTTGCTGATGCGCTTGCGGTGTTTCCTCCTTCGGCGAGGCGAGGCAGGTCGGAACGGGGCACGACGGGCTGAGGGCGAGATGGGAGCCACAGTGGAGAGGGCTGAAAGAAAAGAGAAAGCGGAGGACACAGTAAATACAAAAGTTTACACCAAACAGAAAAATGTGGTTTCATGTGTGACAAATACTTACTTATAAACTTATAATTAGCATTTGAACAAACAAAATAGGAACAAAGTAACAAATCACATGAACAACAGTTTCATCTTGGTTTCAATCACAGTAAACCGCACCAGTGGAGAATAAACACAGGTTGTGTAGCTCTCGTAGTGGCTCTCACTGCACTCTGAAGGGCAGCTGATAACCTTGAAGTCTGCTTAACAAAGCGTGTGACTGCCTGCAGGTTTAAATCAGACATGAACCAGTGGGAAATCCAGTTCTCTGACTGCAGAGCTCTCAGGGGGTCGAGGAAGAATAGCAGGACACATGTGGCCATGTTGTTTAGTCATACATGTACAGTTGGCTGCTTCCTGCCTGGGAAACTCTCCCACTGATTCACTCGTACATTAAAAGCTAAAATTACTAAACATGTTTTAACACAGAGACAATCCACACATGGCTGCTGGATATAGCGGTAGTAGTAATGGTTACTTTTCTTTTCCTGTCTTGTATTAAATTTGACAAGGGCAGCAATCATCATACATGTCCACAACTCTGCATCAGTGTATCCTGCCTCCAGTGCGGCACAAACGTTTGCTCTTAGTTTGGAACAGTAGTGCACTGCCAGTGTAAAGTCATCTTCCTTCTAGTACTTACATTTTAAAGGGCCACTCCACCAATTTTATACATAGATTGGTTCACTTGTCATGAGGACTACTGCATAACCTATAAAAACAGGAGTATAATGTCTTCTATGGCTCTGAAGGGAGCTCTTGTGCGTCTGAGAAAATAACCCGATTGTAGTTATGTCATCAGGGTAATCTTGGATTTGAGACGCAACTTGTAACAGAAAGCCTATGTTGAGTTGCATTATGGGAAATGTAGGATCCAGTGTTTTCATACCTTAACCCAAACTAGGAAGCAAAAGTCACTGCCCACTGCCTACAAAAAAAATGATCTGATATAAAACACATTTGAGAGAAGAAAGGTACCTGTTTTAAATGTAGTCGGTTTTGGTCTTTGCTGAGGATGATGCGGATGAAGATGAGTCTCTCGATCCAGTTCGCTCTGTACCGTCTCCAGAGTTTTCTTTCTCCTCTCCTCCTCTGTTAAATGACCATCCCCACTGGTCAATTTTGAGTCTTTATCCTTCCCCTGATTGGCCAGCTCTGCCCGGGCTGTGTCACCACTATTGGACGACCCACTCTCCTCCCTCTCGTTCCCTTCTTTATGACTGACTGTCTCAGTCTGTCTGTGATTTGTGACCTTTGTACTTTTTTGGCTGGTCACTGAGTCTTTCTGATTGGTGGTCATAGGAAGGGTGGCGTTTTGTTCAAATTTGGGCAGCTGGGTTGGGCTGCTGGGTGGAGAGGCGCTGTCTGATTGGGGAGCGTTTAGTCGATATTGTGTCCTCAGCTCTGGGTCCTCAGCTGCTCCATGGCTGTGCTGCTGTGGATAATGTGGCTGATGATGATACTGATATTGCTGCTGAAGCTGCTGCCTTTGCTGATGCTGTAACAACTGTTGTTGCCTTTGAATGTGATCTGGATGATGCACTCCCCCACCGCTGTTTGCTACATGCCCGCCACTTTCCTCCCTGCTGCCGTCATACCCGCTCCCATGCCCAACCTGCGGTGTACTTCCCATGATACTATGCTCTGCCCTTGCTTCAGATGGCCAGCTGCTGGCCGGCCCGAGCACCCCAACAATCGGCGGCACCCCTGGCTGCACAAGTGTGGGCCCCTGGTGCACCCTGGGCTGCGTCCAGTGCACCAGCTGGGTGTAACTGCCCTGCTGCCACTGCCTCGCCACCGGCTCGCGCTCCTCAGTGCGGTAGTGCTGCTGGTTGTGCTTCAGGTCATCGTGGCGATGGAGGTCGGCCTTGGAAGCATGAGTTTTTGGTGGAGCAGGGTGGACAGTCCGAGGGAGGGGCACGGGAAGGTGGGAGGAGGGGGGAGGCTGCTGCGGTGAAGGTGGGTTGGGGTTGCTCAGAATGGAGGAGCGGGTGATGGGAACAGACGAGGAGGACGAGGAGGAGGTTGAAGATGTGGGAGGTTGGCACCTGCAGCTGACATGGTCTTCCACTGAGATGATGGCATTGTCATAGTGGGCTTTCCTGTTGATGTACTGGATCTTTATCACCTGGAAAAGAGGCAGAAATAACAAAAACATTTACACAGCAAATCTTTCCGTGAATGAAGTGTAAATCATTAATGGAGTTTGGCTTCCAGGCATGATGGAAAATCCAACAGAGAATGTGCAAACAGATCTCCAACAAATGAGTCTGAATGTTTTTATTTAACATAACTGAACATACTGTAGCTGTATGTATAATGAAGCATGTTGCAACAAGTAGAAAAGCAGCAGTTCAATTAAATTTGGTGGCTTCATGCCAAGACGTTTATTGTGTCATTTTCTAAGAATGAAATGCAGAATTACCGGCTCTTTAAGGTATATTAACTTGCAATGTCTACCTAAGTGTGTAAATCATCACATGAAGCTATAGTAGTAAAAGGCAATGAAGCTTCTGAGCCTTTGGGTAGCTTTGGCAATCACATGGCTGAAATAAATATCATGATGGCCATGAAATTGATATTGATATAAATCACCATACGACAACTGAATGCAAAATTACTGTACACAAGTAATTTGGACAGGAACACTAGGTGAAACGATAATATTGTGTGCCGAGAACCAGTATATGCACTGTCGTCGTGAGAAATATCCCTACAGGTATTGCACCTATTTTAGATCATATTTTCCTGACAGCTGTACTGTGTACCTTCAGATATCTGCTGGAGGTAACGGTGGGGACACACTGCAGCATCCTGGTGTTGCAGCAGCCCGAGCATCGCTGCACCTCCACACAGGGTGGCCACAACATGAAGTTGGCATTGCGGCGGTCCAGCATGGACCGTGTCACCTCCATCACCTCTGTCCGAACTTTACACGCTGCCTGCTGGGCCTGCTGTGCCTCAACTGGTAGCGGAGGAGAGGGAGAAAGAAGAGAATAAGAGGGGGATTTTTGGTAAAAATGGCATCAGAAGTGTTGAGAGACAGATGGCAGAAACAGACAGATAGAAAGTACACAAAATGCAGACAGGATGGGACACAAATAGATGCGGAAACCTACCAAGACTTCTAGTGTATCGGCCATGGGTGTGGTTTGTGAGAATATCATGCTCGTCTTCTTCCTCTTCTGCAGAGAAAGACAAGAGAGAAGGGGGGATTGGAAGGATGGGAGAGTTAATATAGTTAACGTAATATTTTCCATCTTTTATCTACAAACAGGGCAACATTGAGCCAGAACTTTTACGAGCGATGACAGAAATTTGTACAGCATGTGAGGCAGTTAGGGGAGTTTTTAGCAAAGCTCATTGTTCACTGCACACAGGAAGCCATTTTTTCTCCTCCCGCTAAAACAATTAGGCTATTTTCTGCCGCAATTTGTCCTTGCGCTGTCAAGAATACTATTGAGGAGAGATATGAGTTGTTAAATATAGCTCATGAGTGGATCTGTGAGTGTGTGTGTTTGCACTCTCACATATGTCGTCATTTCATACTGTAGCCCCTTAGTCCTAATTATATCCCTGGTGTAGATTGCGTTTGGTCACCGTGTGTATGTGCATAAGTGCATGTATGTGCAACACACAGATGTACAAGGTGTTATTTGGTTGCCTGTTAGCCCTAATTAACTGCCTGGTGCAGAAAGAGAACAGTTTCTTATTGTTCTCAGAAGCTGCTTTCTAATTTTATCTGTGCATTTATCTGTGTCTGAATGTTTTGTGAGACTGATTCCTTTCTTCCCAATTTATGTACTGGCATGTGACCCATTTTACTCTCTTAAATCCAGCCGGGCCAATAAGAATCAGGATAGAATACTGGTTGTGCTGTGTAATTGCAATTTACACTAAATCTCATCTTTTTCAAACTTTATATGTCCATGCTTTTAGTTGTATGGTTATAAAACAAAAAAAAAGTGATAAAATAATTTTAATGGTGGCAGGGGGAGATGAAAAGATAGCAAAAAAAAGTCAACTCAAATAGAAGAAAGAGTTACACCAAACAAGAGTCCACAGTGCTCTGTGAGGGGTTCTTTGAGCTAAATGCTGACCCACATGGCATCATATAAAACACATTGATGACAACGTAAACATTAAATTAATCATTAATCTACCAACTAAACTCAGACCTTTGATAAACTTGCAAAAAACCCAAAGAAAAAAAAAAGTTTATTCATGATAAAAAACATACACTTTGAGTCATTTCCTCGTGCCCTGTTTTTGAGCATCCTTCCCTCTGTTGGTTCCTCTCTGTGGTCGCTGTTATGTCACTGCGTTATTTATGCATTATGGAATGATCAAAGGGCTGTCTATTAATATATGTATGTGTGACTTGGTTCCTCAGAAGGATAAGTTTAATGAATTTTTTAATCACCCAACGAGCTGCGTGCGCATGAGTCTAAATTTGTGTGTTTGTTTAGACTTTAGAGTTTGGGGGTGGAGACGTGGGGGGGGTCTCTTTCTGTCACACAAGCACATCAATATTCAAAATCTGGAGAGGAATTCAGAGCAGGAGAACAATGTAGTGACCTTGTGCTGCAAGTTTTTCTCTCTCAGTTTGTCCAACAGACACCAAGGTCAAAGCTATTCTCTCCCTCTGTCTTCCCCCCCCCTCCCTCTCTCATCAAGCTGGTTCATCATTCCTGCTGCTGTCTCGGGTAAATATTGCCTTAACATGGTGCTTGGCATGTACACTGATACTCTCTCTTGCTGCATTCCTGTGTCTTCAGGCCTCTGTCGACACACCCACACACTCACCTCCTCCACGTCGGTGTTATTAGTGATTAGTGTGTGCATGTGTGTGTGGTCATTAGTACCTATTGCATTGGTTTCCTGCTGCAGCAGAAGCTTCAGGTCATCCACAGAGGAGATGGGAGAGTTCCTCACCAGGTCGACCAGCGACGTAGGGAGTGGATCACCCTGTGGAGACACAAAGACAAATGCATTTTTATCTCTGCCTTGTGAATAACTATTATTACTGTGTGGTATGCTAATAAAGCTTTGAGTGTTATTAGAGTAAACAGAATCAGTAGCTGTGTCCAAATTTAAGGGTTGACTACTTTAAATCTGCATTTCTAGCTACATCATAGTAGCCCAGCTTGGCCTCAGTTGCTCCCAGTTTTTACCAGGTATTTGTACTCAAGTGCATTCACTGATATGCAAATGTGAATAAATACAGTTCAGTCTGGGCTTCAAGTCCCTTGAACGACCCATCCTTTGTGTGTTGCAGCCTGAACGATGACAGTTATTGTTTCACACAGATACCAGGAGTGACCTTGTTAAAGGGCAAATCATGTATTTATGGGGGGAAAAGCACTGAAGTGCACATAATACTACCACACATACACAATATAAAACTCCCTGTTTTTGTTTTGATAATTAACACTGTCAGCTAATTTTGTTAATTATTTCATAATGATTTCTTAAAAGAACTTAGTAGGATTGGAGAAAAGCGGAAGGAAAAAATGCAAATAATGCTTAATAGTTACATAAACTGAAAAGATATTTTTATAAATCTTAACAAGGCTTTTTGTTTTTGAGTTCATCAAGTTTTTAGCATTCTGAAAACTCAAAAGAGAAAGTGTGAGATCGAGAGACAGAAAAAGAGGTTAGTTAACAGAGAGAGAGAGACGTACAGAGGCTGCTGTATAATATCTCATTCCTCAATCTCCAGTCTTGCTGCAGTTTCACTTCCTCCTGCAGAGGAAATGATGGTTGTGATTGGTGTTTGTTGCTACTGTTGTCACTCTCTCCCTGTCTGTTTACCCACAAACAACCACTGTTGCTCCTGGTGTGACACAGGAAATTAGCCGCCCTCTCTCTCAGTATTAATTTCAGTTCACTTTAACATGCTTTAGATATCAAGAAAAGGTCAATATCTTAATGTTAAATCTCATATTTGGTCAAGACTGTTTCAAAGAAAGTTGTAAAAATCATTGACATGTTCCAAGAAAGTAAAACCTAACTGTAAAATATATTATTAGTCAGCAAAGTTATGTAAGTAATTAAATTATCACTCAAGTAAAGAAGAGGAATTTGATATTTAATGAACTTTTAATGAATGCCACTGCAGGAATTCATTATGAATTCAGTGTGGATGGGTTTAAGGAAAGGCTTGTGGTTTTTTTGTTGAGATCAAAGGCAGATTACTCACTGTTCTGTGTCACATTTTGCTTTGGTTGCCTGTAAACTGATACTATCTCAGAGCAGTTGGAGCCTCATTTGCTACAGTCACATGCCAGAAAGATGCCAAAACAAATTAAGGAGTGTAAAGAATGTGAGAGGAAAATATTTTGGATAACTCTCTGAGATGCCAGGACAGAAAAGTAAAGACCTTTATCTTCTCACTGCAATAATGATTTTATGACTATGGACAGAAATCTTAAGAAAACATCTAGCCTCTAACTATAAGCAGGGTTGACTCCCAAAAGTTGGGGATGAAATGAGTCTGAATCTTGCCATCATCTTGAATTATTTGTGACGTCGTCTTTGTCAGAGTTCCTGTCATTATTTATGACTGAAAATGTAGTATCAACAGATTTGAACCAGGTTTCTACTGCAGGCACTTGCCCCTTCCCTGATAAGACAAAGCATAGTTACTGTTTATCCAGAACGGCCTGTACTGCAAGCTGACCTCACTTGAACTCTATGTAGCCACCTGTTAAAGCTAATGCTATTACTGGAGAGGAAAAATCAACATATAAATGCCCGGGCATACTATACAAATAAGGTTAATTTTTCCCAGTGATGATATGATGATGAGGATGAGTTAAAAAGGATGGTGTGCAACACCTGAATCTTATCCTGCAGAACATTCCTTTAAAGAGCTGCACATTATGAAATATATGCAAATTATTTTGCATTTGCCTCCAATACCTTGATGTAAATACTGGGAGTTGAGTGCATTGAAATAAACAGCTGGTGGTGCTAATTCTAAGTCGCCATTTAAACAATGGGCATTTATGTTTCTTTCATGAATTAATTTTAGGAAGGTTGCAGTCTCCTCATTGCTCCACAAAGATGGCCCTATTTGTTGCTAACAAAGCTGCTGTCTGTACCCATTTGCACTTTGTTGGTTTTTAACCAACTTTTCCACCTTAGCTAAGTAAGCATAAAGATTTTTTGCGATATTTTGATCCTTTTTTCCCCTGGAGATTTCCACTCACGTTTTTCGTGTGCAAACTGAAAAAGAATATTAAAAAAAGTAGATTACACTACTTAATGTTTCACAGAATATTGAAACAAAAAAGTTCCTTTCTAGGAGTGTTCTAGACAAATCCAACCCTGGTAGTATACTCTCAAACAGAAGGTACATGCAGTCTTAAAAGGAGTACAATTGGTAAATTAATCTTTCTGAAGGTATCATTTTATTTTTGTTCATGTTTTTCTATGATCATTAACTGGAGGTCCACCCTTTCAGATCTAACATGATTTCAAAAACGTCTTTTTTACCTTTTATATCACTCTCTGAGCTCATTTTTCATCTAGCTTTCTCCTTCTCACTCTTGTTCTCTCTCTGTCTGTCTGCTTTGTGGGCGGCGGTGGCTCAGGACACCTGGATGACTTTCACGAGCCATTGGCTGACCTAGTTAAGCAAACACACACACACACACACACACACACACACACACACACACACACACACACACACACACACACACACACACACACACACACACACAATCGCCCCCACTTTTCCAGTTCACATACAGATGCTTAACCACTTAACTGTCCGCCCAATTTGTCCTGAGAGCCTCACACACGCACACACACACACACACACACACACACAGACAGTTTTCACTCTGTAACAACCTATCATTACAGTGTCAGTGTTAATCGCAAACACACATACATGCACAGACACACACATAGAAATTAGAGAGTGGAACATGCAGACAGGAAATAGTTTCTCACATGGACAACCTGAAAACCACTGGTTAAAAAAAAGCCAAGAATTGGACAACAAGCTAATAATAGTGGTTTGAGCAGAAGAGCTAAATTACCCAGAACAGATCTGCCACCAACTTCCCTATTTGCTATCTAACACACACGCATATGCACAAAAATAGGCCTCTCTTGTTGTTTATAGTCTTTGTGAAGCCCGTAAATGCCCTTTTCTGCTCGTTGACATGGAAGGTTTGGCATTTTTCATATCTCACACTGCGTGAGTGTGAGTTGCTAAGCTGTAGGGTCGAGAGGACTGTCTGGTAGGATGCAGGTCACACACACACACACACACACACACACACACACACACACACACACACACACACACACACACACACAATGCATGGGGCCTTGAAGGAAGCCTGTAAGGCAAAGAGATTGTATGGAATGTTTGAGGAGAAAGGTGAAGTGTAATGGAATGTAATTATGGGGCCAGCTGACTGCACACACACACACACAGTCACACATATACAAACATGCTATCAAAAAGAGACACAGACTTTAAAAAGTAAACACACACAAAAACACTGAATCCAAGTGTGTGACAAGTGACTCACAATCATGTCGCGCTGTCACAACACACACCTCCTTTTATCAGAGATATGGCAGATGGCCAACATACTGTCGCATAAACTTGATAGACTCTGAGAGCTCGGTGGAAACTCTCTCTCTCTCTCTCTCTCACACACACACACACACACACACACACACACACACACACACACACACACACACACACACACACACACACAGCGGCAAAACAGATAGATTCCCCCCTGGCTGCAGAGATGAGGGTACAGATGATGGATGGAAAGACGACAGTGGAGAGGAGCAGAAAGGAGGGTAAAGGAGGAAAGAAAAGAGGAGATGAAGATAACCAAGGAGGAGGAGGCGGAAGAGGAGCAGTCTGGGGGCTGAGCAACGTCTTTGAGAAGGCAGAAAACCACTCTGGTCTCTGCACAGTGTGTCCATCAAAAGGCTCTTAAAACCTTCTACAGGTTCTTCTACTGTTTTCTAACTGCATTATGAATTTCCACACATCTCCACAACACTTACCATTACTTAGATAACAGAATATCATCAATCATTAATGTATTTTCAAGCAAAATGGCCAGCATTCCTGAACTCCATCTTGTGAACTGTGATGAGTAACTGCTTTTCTTTGTCTAATAAATTAGATGAATATCTTTGGACTGTTGGTTAAAACAAAACAAGCAGTTTGATATTTTTGATATTTGCAATGTTTTCTGTGCTTTCAGCAGAAAATGACTACTGTTATCTATTGTTGAAAAAAAGTCAGAAATTATATTGATTCCACCAACCAACTTTTAGTCATGTTAATTTTTTTATTTATTTGCATTATGTGCAACCACGGACACAGTAAAATGTAACCTTTTTACCTAGAGATTTTATGTTATATTCTATCCTTTTTTATTACTTTTCTCATTTATTATTATTATTATTATTATTTTGAAGTGTCCACTGTACGCTGACAACATTTTCCTCTGATATTGCACCACATGGGGCTTGCAAACAAATACTCTTATGCACCACACTGCGCTTTTCTATCTGACACACATGCACGCACAGAGGCACAACCCCCCCGGCGCACACACACAAAAACACAAGCACATATGTCCACTAACGCATACGCAGCTACATCAGGCCATGCACCCAGATGTGCACACACACACAAATACACACGCTACTACATGGCACACAACGTCTGTGAAATCCCTGGCAGATTAGTTGTTGTTCTTATGTAAAATGGATCAAGCTGGGCAGCAGAAAATCGCCCAAGCTCGCCCGCAGAGACAATAGTCAGACAGCAACCTGTTCAAAAGCCACCAATCAGCTGTGTGTGAGCGTGTGTCACTGTGAGTGTGTGTTGATGCAGCCATTGTCATTTGAACAGCAGATGATGAAAGGATTGGGGTCTGACCTGATGTGTGAGTGCTTTTGTGTATTTGTATCTGACTCCTGTTCTGTTTAAATGGATTTAAAAATGAACCGTAGCAACCCTCAGTGTGTGTGTGTGTGTGTGTGTGTGTGTGTGTGTGTGTGTGTGTGTGTGTGTGTGTGTGTGTGTGTGTGTCTGTTTGTAAACATATTGTATAAGCAGGGAGGTTTGATTGGATTGCTCATAGACACAACAGCTGCACAGCAAATAAAAAAATTATCTTTCCCTCATAAATTATGAGAATATTTTCTGGGTGTACTTATTACGCCAACCCTAGCTGACCTGTGGTGACTTTGCTGAATAATCTGTGTGTGATGGTGTGCGTGTGTATGTGTGTATGACTGTGCAAACTGAAGTCTTTTCCACAGACAGATGTGGCAGAACTAAGACGTCAAAGATGTCTCCATTTTTTCCATCACTGGACTAAACATTGTGACAAGAAGAGGATTAGAGTGTCACAGAGTCTCAGTTGGACTTGATCCTGTCTCACACTCAGCTCACATGGCAGGTCAGCGAGTTGTTTAAATATAAAAATATGTCAAATTTTCAAAAGGTGTCAGTTTTATCGTACAGTTCAGTCTAACTCATCATGCACATGAAGTTGAGCATGCTAATAGTTTCCGTCATTATGCTACAATATCACAGGTTTATCTCTAACTACAGCCAGTTTCCACCCACTAACCACAGCACTCAGCTTCTGCCCGCTGCAGTGAAATGGGCACCACAGCATGTTTGTAGCATCGTATTTGCACTTTGTGAACTGTAATCATCCAAACGTCAAAGACTTCTCAAATCATTAGTTCCAACAGTTGCAGGATGTGGTGCCTTTGAGGATGAGATGCTGTGAGTTTCCTAAGTGAGTTGAAAGAACCAGAAGTGTGCCAAAGCTCAAAAGACCTGTCCAAAATCTCAAACAAAGCAAAGAAAGATTGTGCCCGTCCATGTTGATGTCACCCTAAATGGGCCAAAGAGCTCAGAAAGGACACAGAGTTGTAGGACAGAAAGCTCTGTAGGACAGGTAGGATGCTGTAGAAAGAGACTGTGCTCATTCCAAAGAAACAGCATCAGCTGCTTGATTGAACACTCAAATGTTCAAAGGTCAAAGCAGCAAAGGCAGAAGCACCAAGATGTTGGTATACCGTCTCAAGTCTTAGAGTGGATGGTTGGGTGTAAAAAGTATGACACACCACAAAACATGGATCATACCACATCTCTTACCATCTCAACAGTTCTTTGAACCATAATACACTAGTTATCTTTATCTAGACTTAACCATGTGGTGTTTGTTGCTGAATCTTTAACCAGACATAAGAAAGGAGGTGGCGCCACAACATTTTTTTTGGAAGATGCCAAAGGGTGAATACAGATGTGAAGACAACAAGCTACTGTATCACTGCTCGGTTTGACAGAGGTCAACTGACAGCTCATCCACATGACCGACGAATGCTGGAGATGGAACATGACCAAATGAGGGTCCACATCACTGTACGTAAAATGTTACATGCTTTAGTTTCTAAAATGATAATGCTGTAGGCTATGTATATCAAGATAAGGTTCTTGCACATCAACTTATACATATAACAATGCCGTTGGACCAATTTATTTATCAAATCGGTGGACATCTTTCTTTCTAACCTAATGTATATTTGGTTTAGTTTCTGTTTGTTGGCTGCTAAAGAAACAGGTGTCTGGGGGAAAGATGGGGCTGAATAAGGTGACAGCACAAACAGCACTGAAAGAATACCTATCAGAGAAAATCATTTCAGTGGTGGAGTGACAACAGGACCTCATTGTGGTGTGGTGTTCTGATGTGACAGTGAAAACTGCAGCTGGGCTCATGGATGGATTTTGGCTCGAGCTTCATACTGTAGGTTAACTCCTGCTGCTGGGCCAGCAGCCAAGGCCCTGCCTCACCCTCCCTCTCTCACCCCCCCTCTCTCTCTCTCTGACAGAATGACTCTTCCTAATCTTTCACAGCTCACTCAGAACTGTTCCTTATTGCTAGTATATTAGATCAAAGAAGAAGTCCAGGCAAATATGTTAAGCCAGGAAGAGATAAACATCTCCATCAGTACTATTTGGGGGGGGAACTGTGGTCCAAAATAATAAGCTTTTAAATCTTTCCTGCACACTGAAATCTTCTTCCAACTTAACCAGGGGTGTAGTGGAGGCTTAAGCCACCTTATTATTATAAGACCTTAATATTTGAGGCAATATTTACCTTCACTCAGGGTTGTAAGAGACATAAAAGAGCATGCAAATGTATTAAACAATTCATTTTGGTGGTTGGTTGCCTTAGAATGATCCCCACATGTTTTATTAACCACTACATCATTAATGCTTAATCAATAGTTTATAGACCGTCATTTAGTAACACTACGCATTTGTAATGCATGTGTGTTAGTTTCCCCTCACCGACTAGAGGTCATAATGTTTACCCCTGGTCTTACCTCAGCGCTTCCGAGCCGCAGACGGGCCGCTGAGAGCGCAGCCAGCAGCAGCAGCAGGACCCAGGACCTCATGTTGCCGCCCAGCCAGAGGAGCCGCAAGCGACCGGCTGGGCATTTAGCACCTCGGCGTCCAATCTCCCGGCTGCACCGAGCCTCGTCCCGGTCTCGTGTGCTGGCCGCTTGTGCGAAGGCACGCACTGTTAAATATCCTCAGATGTGTCACTGCTTATAAGCGCCGCTTGTCCAAGTGTTTGCTCACGGTGACTCACGCGCAGGCTAGACGTCTGACTGTGTCCATAAAGCTGTTTTGAAAACTCACAAGAGGAGATGTCAAGGGTACTGTGGACAGGTGCGTAATGCAGAGTGTTATGGTACACGAAGGCTACAGCCGCACAGTTCCTATGATACCAGTCTGCAGTGTAGGAGAGAGTCCCAATAAACCCCGGCTAAGATCCTAAGAATGTCTTCAAATGTGTGATTTAAAAAATGATTGGCAACGTGTGCCAAAGAAGTGCTCGATGCGTCCCCTGTCCAGTCAAAACTCCAGTCAAAAATGATCAGATTACGAGTTTCCGTCCCAAAATCTCAGTTAAATGTAACAATAATGCAGCATTCTCCCTATGAGTGAAACCCCTCATCTCCAAGGTCCGTGCGTAAAAGTTGCTACACCTTGGAATGGCGCGTTCGTGCGTAATTCTCTGGACGCTCCGCTGCAAAAGTCAGATTATTCTCATCCCAGCGCGGTTCGCTTGACTGCAAATACCCTGTCTGTTTTATCTAAAGGGCTCTCTTATCGACAGCTCCTCCCTGCATATATCTGACTCGGTCTCTCCCTGTCTCTGCTCCCTCTCCCGGTGGTCCACCGTTCACCGGCTCCGCTGGATCGGACTGTTCTCGCCCCTCGCGCTTCTTCTCCTCTCTGGTTGCTTCTTGAGAGGCAGGCAGTTTTTCCTCACAGAGCCAGGGCCTCCCTCTCAAAGTTTTTAGCGTCAAATCAGACAGAGAAATGACGAATTATACCGGAAACTGGGTGATTTTCTTTTCAAAATAAGAGAATGATTTGCATTTGCATGGCAATATGGTATCTATGCAAAATTAAATGTGTGTGAAATATTTAGACTTCAGAGTATTAGAGGAACGAGTATGATAATCAAACCAGATTGATATGATAATATTGACAAATGATTTATAGAAATGAAATAAAGACTGTAAGGGGAAAAGGATATGCTATGCATTGAGAAGAACTAGAATAGCATTAAAAGTATATTAGCTATATTCTTCTTATGTAATTGTGTAAATTCAGTCTTCAATATTTTGTAACTGAGACTGACTGGATAACGTAGCAGGGCCTCTAAATGATTGATGTGAAAATATTATAGATGGAAATGAAACCAGAAAGAAACTTTAACTTATCACTTTCTACTTCTCATATGTAACTATTTTATTTTCACTCCATATTTCTGTAATGACAATGACGTCAATTATGTGGCATGCAAATCAATTTAAAGTTTTACTTTGAAAGTTCTTTACAGGAAGTGTGAATTACCATGTGGCTGACTTGATTGTGGTCCTCAACTTTGTGCCAGGGCCCCGTTCATCTCGTCTTGAAGGCAGGGTTTACCACCTCCTTATTAGGAGCAAGGAGACTTGAGCACCCATGGGTGCTCTTAAAGTGAAAGTTTGGAGTCATGATACGCATTATTAAGCTGCTTTATAATAATGTAAAATTCATGTAAGGAACCTAATGACATCTTTTTTCCAAAGAAAAGTGTTTTTTCCAAAGGGTTTTTCCTTAAGTGATCATAATATGAAATAAAGGACCATTTTACTAAAGAAGTCTGCTGAAATAAACCAACCTTTTGCGTCAACAGAAAACATTAAAGCTGAGATATTGCTGAGTTTGTTTGAATTTATTAAAGGATTATTTGAGAGAAAAATCAGGTGGTGATTTTAGCTGGCGAGACCATGTTTGAATCAACAATTGCACCATTGAAATAGGATGAGGTCATGATAAATCTGATACACAGGAAAGACAATCTTTATTGCATTATCATGTTAAGAGGAATATTAAGAATTTTCCAGGTACAGAGGATATTAGTCATGAAAATACACTTACTATATACACTTATAGCAGATGCAGAAAGTGCATTAAATCATCCTTAATTCAAGCTAGTTTTATCTATTTATTTATTTTAAGTTATGAGTCAGACCTGGGGCAAATGGTTTTTTCCAAAAAACCCTATCTGTTTCTGTAATCTCCTTGGATTATTGTTTCATTGAAGGGTGGGGGTTAGCAAACAGAGCAAAACAAAGAGGACCAGAAAGTTTGGACAAACCCAGAGATGGCACTTCCTTCGCTGACAAAGCTGCTGTTTCAGTTCTGCAGGCACGGTCACCTCCACCTGTTACAGACAAAAATGCATTAGGGTGTCATACAGAAACAATATCAGACGAGTTTGGGATAGTGTGCAATCAAGAATATGCTATGAGACATTAAAGAAACCCCGCAGACACATTTAAAATGTATTGGCATTGAATAATATTTTGTCAACGTGGCATGAAAGTCAGCAGATCTTATGTTGCTACACTAACAATGTAATTATTATATAATATACACACCATGACAAGCTGATTCTTATCATATTTATTTCGTGTCTGTGTTCGGAAGTCATTTGGATTGCAAATAGACTAGCTGGTATTGAAGCAAATTACAGTCATGCGCTGAGATGGCCAGATAACACCGTCAATACTTTGAATTTCTAAAAGCATTTATGGTATTATTAGACGTTCAAAAAGTGCCTGTGGGGTATAAAGGGTAACATTTTATCCACAAAAACATTAGTATTTCTAATAAAATGAGATATATAGACACACATCTGACCTCACACGTACAACATCTATCATGTCTTTGCTGTCAATTTATTTTTTGTCCCACTGTGACAAAGTGTCTCGTAAATACGTTTTATCTTGAACTGAGAAGATCAATGACCAGAGAAATTTGCTTACATTTCCAAAGTAGACTGCAACTGTTTTCCAGTAAGTCCAGTGTTTCATTTCAGGGTCACGGCTGGATGGGTCAACATGGAAGCCGGGGGTCACAGTAGATTCTTCCTCCCTGCAGAGGGAAGATAGAGGAAGCAGCCATCCCTGTGCTGCTATTCCTGGACTGCACGCACACACACACACACACACACACACACACACACATAGTCATGTACCAATGAAAATGCTGACCTTTTACCTTTATGCACAGTGTACAGAATGATTGACAGACTGAGGGGACATACTGCTGTCACCTCACCTCATCTCAATAATGACTGCAGTGAACTGTGTATATTATATATATACATACAGTGTGTGTGTGTGTGTGTGTGTATGTGTATGTGTGTGTGTGTGTGTGTGTGTGTAATAACTTGAAAGGGTATCAGGTTTACAGTGTTGCTTGCTGTCAGTCCTCGATGTGCAACATGGAATTCCCAGTATGTCCGAGAGGAAGGAGATGTATTGCGAATGTGTGTGTATGTGTGTGTGTGTGTGTGTGTGTGTGTGTGTGTGTGTGTGTGTGTGTGTGTGTGTGAGTTTAAGCAGGTGAAATTATGCAGAACAAATCTGCACCTTGCACAGCTGTCTGTGACACAGGACGTCACAGGTGTGCAATATCTTAGAGTCTATATTTGTGCCATTGCAAAGCCAGAGGCAACATAGTTCTTTATTTCATTAATTCAGTTTAATTCTATTCAAAATACTTCACTAGTCATCCCTCAAGGGCAACTTAAGGCAAGTTTGTCTTGACACATAGACAATTCATTTCCACGCATAAAAAACAAAAAATACAAATATGACAGTGTAAGAAAGAGTTACATACACAAGAACCAATATCAATATCAGGTGCAAGTTTTGAGTTTTCCAACATTAAGAGATTTAAGAGACAAAATGAAACAGGCAGTAGTGCTAATATTTTACGTAGACTTAAAAAACAAAACATAAATAATAAGTCAATAAATTGCAAATCCAATCTTTTCTACTTGCAAATGAGCATCCAACATAAACAAAACAGAGGCCGGCCACTGTGCAAGCCAACAGGTTCTCATACCTACTGTAAACGAGTGGGCCAGGAGTCAGCAACTAGGTTTAACCATGGGTCAGTTTCTTTCTGTACTGTTCACTAGGGGGGCAATATTTTACAGACAAGGTGTAAACGCAGGCTGTTCAATGTGTTTTCCCTTTTAGTAAATGTAGTAAAGGCTAATGTTAATACTCCTTCTGCAAAAAGGACTCGTGAATATATATATTCTGTGTTGAGCTTTGAGCACATTATTTACAAATTCTTTTAGACTTCATTGTAGCACCATGCACAGTTCTCTTTACATTGGAGCAGTAGAAGCTATGAGGTCATATTTCTAAGGATTTTTTCCTATTATGTATATTGTTATCTGTAGTAGATGTGAACAATAAAAGGGAAGACTTCAGCTTTCATCAGTGGGACAAAATATTTCGTTGGAGGGCCAGAATTGGCCCACAGGCCACTATTTGCCTTCCACTGAAGTAGGCCTTTTGTTCCAAAATGACGCATATGAAAGGAATGCGTTGTAGATTGCTTAGATGTAAAACAAATAAGAGCAAGTTTGATTTTACTCCAGAAGCTATAAGGCTTGTGAACCATAGCAGTATAGATTGTTCAGTTTATACACTGATTAATGCACTTAAAATGTTGTGTGTTTGTGCTGTAAACCAGCAACAGATTGGCCACTGCCATTAACCCTTGTGTATTTGATCTAGAAGCCTTGTAGAAGCCTCAATATGAGCAGGGAAAATCACTCTTTAAATAACTGCAACTCAAACCCTGTTATGTGGTTATATTAAGGGGACATATACAAAACAAGGTTGGGAACTACTGCCTCGAAGGGAAGAGAAAGTTACTGAAAATCATCAGCATCTCTCTTTAACCTAAACCTATTCTGGGAGTATCGACCAATTCTGCTCATTGGTTCTCTGTGGGTCAGCTCTCGTGTCCCATTGGTTGGTTACCTTGTCTATTGAAAGTCAGAGCTGACCAGGTTCCGGGTTATTAGAGGTGAGTAATCAGTCCAGCGAGTGTCAGGCAGGAAGTCAAACCAAAAACATAAAAACTCAAAACCATTTTCAAACTTGAGAGCATGTATTAAAATCATGATTTCAATCATAACATTAAGCTTAAAAACACCATATATATAAAACAAGCATAACATAAGCACAATAAAACAACATCATCACCATCCTGTGACATGGGGTGGGTAAATATTTAATCTGTGCAGACACACTCACTGACTCAGACCACATTTACATTAAGATGTCTAATGTGGATGTACACTAAGTACATTAAGTTGTTAAAATGGGACATAGATGAATGTGGTTTTAATGTGTTTCAGACTCACCTAATTTCAGAAGCTTTATTGAGTTTAGAGCAACAAAGGCATTTTCCCTTGACCAGACAACTAATACACGAGTAATCAAAGGAGTTTTCACATTTAGTTAAAAGAGGTAGGAGCGTCTTATATTGGGTTAGTTCAAGTCAGACTATCTGTCTGTTTTGATCCTCCACTCATTTGATTTTGTCTTCTCTCTTTTCACTCTCCTCTCCTCTCACTTCACCATTTCCCTTTATAAACCTCACTGGGCATGTGTGAGAGAGTGTTAATCAACTTCCTGTCCAATATCCTGATCTAATTAATAGAGAGAATTTCTTTCCTCTTCTCCTCCTGCCAACTTCCTCTGTCACCACAGCCAGTTACAGGACGAAGCAAACAGCCGCCGTGCTCCCAACCAGGGTTCAAGCTCGGGTCACAAGCTCAACACACGACCTCTGCAACTCATTCTGCTGCTGTCTAACCAGCCTGTCTGAATCAGGGCATATTAGATCTTCTAGCAAAGATTATCCCTGATAAATCCCACA